ACATGACAAATCAAGTCATATGATATATATATATATATATATATATATATATAAATAATCTTTTAAAAATATTTTATTTTTATATTTTTTTTTTCTTCTCTTTTCATTAATCTTTATTATTATACATGTTTTCTCTATATTTTTTGATTTCATAGCTGTTCTTAATTTAACAACACTTGCTTATTATCATTCTTCAAAATCAAGTGCAGCAGTTAAAACAGGCTATTCGAAAATAACGTGCAATTATTGTTAAAAACTTTTATCTTCAATTTGAATCAAATATTTGTTTTGTTTTTGTTTTTTTTCATTTCATTTTCTTTAACTGCGACATTATTAATATTGTTTATTTTTATTTTTTTAACAAAACTTTAAAGCGTTTAAAGTAAAAATCATTACCCTTTAAGTATAAATTCAAATGTTAAATTATATTTTACGTTACACAGCTAGCATTTTGCTTGTAATCAGACGATTGTCATAGATTGTGATATTTATAATTGTCGCCAACTAAAATATCTAAAATTTAAACTCTGAATCATTTAATAAAAGACTTTAAAAAGAAAACTATTTCAGTTGCATGAAAGTGTTCGAAAGCAAGTGAAACATCCGTCTAAAGAATTCCCACAATAGTGGTTATTGAAGGGGGAATTGAGAGGAACCTGTTGCCGTCCCTTGAGGGGATGAATGAAAAAAAAAAATACAATTGAAACGGTACAAAAGATAGAGGATACAAAACATTTATTTCCTCTAGGAAAAGAGTTTTTGTTATGAGCTTGTGTCGGTACTAAATGCATTTTTTTCTTTCAAGATTGGATGTTTTTTAAGAGAAAAATTTATTTTATTAATTACATATTTTATATTTTTAACGCATTTTTAAAATTATAATTTTTATTCACTGATGGATAAGGGAAACGTAAATTAAGTACTATTTGTTATTTCTTTATTACTCATATTTCCAGCACACGTAACTTTTATTTAGTATATTTCTTATATATATATTTTATACTATTATATATTATATGTCTGATATTATTATATATCTTATATTATTATATGTCTTATATTATTACGTATCTTATATTATTATATATCTTATACAAAATTATATTTATTATATTTCTTTAATACAATGAAATCCGTCAATTTCACTACCTGTCGAAGTTGTCCTCGATTTTTAAGAATTCAATTTATTATGCATTATTATTATTATTATTAATAAAGACAAAAAGGATAGAAAGAAAAGTGAGAAAAATGAAGAAAATTAATACGTTTTATTTACTGCACATAAATCATAAAATAAGTTAAAAATATAGAGAAAACATGGAAAATAATGAAGATAAATGAAAACAGAAGAAGAAAATTATCAAAATAAAATATTTTTAAAAATAGTTTTACAAAAAGTTTTTATTTTAAAAAAATATTAAAAAAACAAAATTACACATACACACACACATATATATATACATATGGAGATTAAAAAATTACTCATACATCTCTCAGTTGAACTGACCAATAAAGCAATGCTCCGCATTGGGTTATCAAGTGGTCAAACTTCAGGTTTCTATGATTGTTCATGATATTCCGTATTTGTTGTCCGTTATATATACATATATATATATATATTTATTTTTTTACTTTTCCATAATTTGGAGAAACGAGGTTGCGTGACTTTTAAAAATAAATAACTTTTAAAACTGCTTATTGGTATACATTTAGTCATATATTTTTCGAACTTGCAAATCCCACCTTTTTAAAACATTTTAACATGGCTTCACATTTCACCTTCAGTAAATAATGTAAATATACACTTATTATATTTTTCATTAAAACTAAAGTATCTTGTCGAAAAAAATTTATATAGCTATTATAATTTTTTGAATTTAAGTTTTGTATGTTTTAAAATTAATTAAAAATAAATAATCATTTTTTTATTTTCCCGTATATTCTTACTTTTCTTTCAAGTATATTTAAATAAATGGAACTATAAATAAAAATAAAATGAATGATCTCATAAGAATTGAAGATCCCAAAAACTACATTCCACCCACACCCCCATCATAATAAAAAAAATTAAACTATGCCTAAAATGCTTTAGAAATATTTGCTTTGAGAGTATATAAAAACAATTTCAGCGAGAACAGTTCCAAATATTTAAGTTAGTATGAAATTATTTATTATGGCTTTAGAGGTATGAAAATTTTTTTTTACATTGGGAAATAGAAGATACAATAAAATTTAAAAAGAAAATTTTATAACAAAAAAGAGAAGTTTGACACTTTTCAATAAAATTTTTGATTCGAGTCCCAATTTTTTAAATTTTGCTGTTATTTAATTGTACTTTTATATTTATTATTTTCTATAAAAAAAAAAAAAGAAAAAAAAAAAAAACAGAGGAAAAANAAATAAAAAAAAAAAAAAAAAAAAAAAAAAAACAGAGGATGAAACTCAGTGATCCCCTGATGAATACTCGTTAGGTTCTTCAAAAGATCGAAACTCACTCTGTTACAAATATAGTAACATGCTACAGTTATATAATTTGAATATAACCAGTTATATGATTTGAATAAAAGTGTTCTACTTTGTTAGTAACAATGGTAAATGTAATGAACAACCCCTACTTTTGTTATAGAAATAAATATAAAGAAATCGTTTTGTTCCCCATTTTTTAAAACTCAATTTTATTTTCATATTTTTTTCTCTTTATCCATTACAAAAATATGAAATCGAAAATAAAAGAAATCGACTACATTATGTTATTTATTGATTGATTTCTAAGTACTGTCCTAGCAAAAACGCAACTTTGAAAAAAGGTCCATGAAACTGAATTTTGAATAAATTTTGAAACTGAATTTTGAATGAATGAATTTTTATTCAATTTTTAAAAAGAATTTGTCGGAGAAACACAAGAATATTTGTGAAGCAAAATAAATATTATTCTTAATCTTCAATCTAGAGAAGAGATAATAGAATAAGAGATAATAGAATAAGAGATAATAAAGTAGGTAATATAGATAGAATTGGAAAACATAATCAAAATTTCTAAATGAAGAAAAAATCAAATGCAATTTTGGAGCATTTTAAAGTTCAGAGAGATGTTTCAAAAGATGTTTCAATTTATTAAATAAAAATTAAGACATTATAAGTATCAATGCAATTTGTATACCTAATTAACCCTTAAAATGTATTAATAGCTTTGTACCATCTTAAAGAAAACATTTTAATATAAAATAATTTTTCTATTTAATTCTGTTTTTAGGGTTTTTAGAAGATTTAAAATACACATTTCAACTTTTTTAAATGAGATTTTTCCGAAGGAAACCCTTTAAATGTTGAATTAACAGGGCAAATTACTAGAACTATTTCCAGGTTGAATAGTGTTTCCTAATTTTATAACACAGAAAAAAAAAAGAAAAAAAACTAATTTGTGGTGCCAGAAAGGGCCCAGGATCAACCTTAACCTAAGTTCAATTTTTAAAATTAAGGCGAGTAAAATTTAGATAACATAAAATATAAAAGATTATTCTGAAATCACTACTCTTTAGCTACTTGCATTTTCAATTGAAAAGTATTTTGTTTAAAACCCACGCAATAATTTTAAATTACATTCAATTAATAAAAAAAGGGTTACCATTTATTTGCAATATGATAAAACAGAAAAAGTGAGTTTTTAAAAAAATTTACTTATTAACTTAGTTATTCGGAGCAATTAAATGAATAAGTTTAAAAAAATAATTATGTATTTTATTTATTTTAGCAACGAATGTTTGAATATTTTTTTTATTTACAATAAAAGTGTAAGAATTGAGAGGTCATAGGAAAATAAGATATTCTCAAGATGTTAAAAAGAAAAGAAAATAGGATATCTTTTATGTGGACATAATAAATGGAAAATAAAAAGAAAGTGTACTTACAAAATGGCCATCAAGACTATTCAGGACTAAGGATACGACAGTCCTGTGTTTGCATCACCTTATGTCGGTCTGTTCGTTTGTCGGACTTTGTTCAACTCACACAACAATGGATTTCTCCAATAGGAGAAGAGCTTCTCCTTTCTACTCCAATCGGAAGGTTAGAAGGGAGGAGCTCTAGGTGGTTACACACCAATGGTGAAGGTTGAAAACAGTCGAAAAAGATTGTCACACCTCATCCACCCCAGCACAATCATTGGTACAAACTTTTCTATTTCCTGAAAAGAAAAAGATTTTCAAGTATTATTTCCGCCTCTAAACTCATAAGTAAATGCTCTTGCAATTGTTATTCAAAATTATAACCAAATAACAATAGGTCGTCCATTCCAAAGATGCGAGCAAAATAAAATTTCTATTGCTTTTATGAAAAAACGAGATTTATTTCTTTAGCGGAGAATATTTATTTTGTGAGGGATAAAACGATTTATTTATATAGAATTCTGATGCAATGGTTTTTTTTCCGACAAGGTTTCTTTATACTAAACTCGACAGATCAATCATTTGGAATTTCTTGTTTGAATGGACAATTGAAAATGAAAAATAATTATTTAATACAATTCAAAAATAACCTTTTGAAGATTCTTCAACAAACCTTTTTTTTCGGAAGCTATTATTTGAAAACTAGTGTTTTCTGTTATAGAATACTTTGAAGTTATAATTGAACATTTTTAACAATTTTAATTTAGAAAGTGTATACTAAAGTAGTACTTCAAAAAGAAGAGAAGTAAAGTAATAATTTACTTAATACAAAAGAAGCCAATAATGATGAGCAACTAGATTGTGACAGGTTTAATAAATCTTTCTGGACAATATATTAATTAGATAACGTGACACTCGTCTATTTCTTTCTCAAAGATAATCAAATTAATATTATAATACTCTTTGTGAGATCGTGTTGGATATAGGCTCGATTTGGGGATTAGATTTAATTTATACTATTGTTGAGAACATAACTATATCCTACACTTATAAGCAAATTATTACAACAGTAACATTATCATAAATTTAACTAAATATTTCAGCATAACATAGCAAAATAATTTATAAAAATAATGCAATACTTTTCATTTCCTAATTTGATAAAATCGACGGTTATCCAACAAATGAAATTCAATTCTATACAAAATCCTTTAGTAAATTGTGTGTTAAATTTAATAAATGAATATATTTATGTATATAAAAAATTAGATATTAAGAATATATCTTGATTATTTATTTTGATTATATTTTTAATTATTAAGATTATGTTTTTAAGATTATATTTAAGATTGGAAAATCATGTGCAAATCCGATTCGGGTAAATTTTTGATAACCAAAATTGATTGATTTATCGTTTTTTTTTGTCACTACTTCACCAGGTTGAAAATCGTTTTGATAACAGAACTATATTCTGTTAAATAGTTCAATTTTAAAGTAATACATATATATATAATATNAAAGAAAAATTATCCACAATGCCATCAGACATACCACTTCTTAATATTTTGGAACAGAGCCTTCTATGAACATATATATATGCATATATATATATATATATATGCATATATATATATATATTCACGATTCACGATAAAGAATTTTAGTTCACCTCAACACCAAAAATGGTCACAATTATACACCAAAATTTTCAACAAAGGTCCAAAAGACTTTAGAAGTCATTCAAATATTAAGTAAGCAAGTTTTCGGTCTTTCTAGCTTTCCAACAATAATTAGCAAATTTCAAAACCTCTCCCATGCTTTGTAACCCCCTTGTTTTTTACTTTGACTTTAATTAGTCTAATTAATATAATTTTAAGAATCTAATATTGAGAATTTTAAGTAGTCTATGGTTATTTAAATAAAATAAGGATGGTTATTTAAATAAAATATGAAACTTACATAAATATTTTTTGTTTCAATTTATTTTACAAAATTTGAAACTTTTAGAAGAATTTTTTCTAATTTTTTCATATACTAATTTTTGATACGTTTTTCAAGCGTAATTGTTTTTTAATTTTTCTTGATAATTTTCTTTTTGTTTTTAAGTGAGCCGGACGTAAGATATCTTAACTCATGAACTTCTTTCTTCATAGGAAGTTAACTTCTTTTTTCATTTCCTTCACTGCAGAGTATTTCTTGTTATAAAATATTTTCTGGTAATTTTTAAGAGAAATTTATTTATTCATTTTTAGAAATTCATTATTTTCGCAGGAACTAGAAAATTTAAAAAATTCTTTTGCACTTATATAGCTCTTCTCATACATAATCGAAAAAACTTGTTTTTCGATTAACTTGAGTTACGTGTTGCTGAACCGGACGTACTCTTCCTATAGAAAGACTCTAAAGGCCGGGATAGCCTGGTTGGTAGGGAACTGGGCCCAAAAGTTCGTGGGTTTGACCCCGCCAGCCCGTGTTGTAAATGGTGACTGATGCACGTTATATCTGTCGAGTCGCAAAGTACTCCTTGTTCCTATAACAAATCAATACCTCTGGGGGTTCTGATCCAGGAGTTTCCTTGTTTTCAGGATTGATTCAAAATTACAAGGCTGCGGATTTGAAAATTAGTAGTCGTAAACCTAAAATTAGGTCAACTGTTCTACGACGGATATAAAATATAAAATAAAATGTAGAAGGATTTCTTCAAAGAAAACTATATAACAGTCATTTTGTTTTGCATTACTTTGAAAATATTTTTTTTTGCAGTTTAGTTTTACAATAAAGAACGTTTTTCAGAGTTTTGAGTTATTCTTATGTCTTAATAAAAATAATTATCCTTTCTGAAAGGGAAAAATCGGTACTTTTTTAAGATGCCAATATATAAAGTGTTACAGCAACGCATAAAAGCACAAATAATACAGCATAAAATAGGCTAACATTCGTTTCACTACTATAATGATGATATATTTTCTATTGTTTATGTGTTGTAACTTGTTTCTAATTCTTATACATTTCAGCATTTCTCTTTTTTTTTTATCTGTTCTCGTTATGATACCGCTATTTCCTGTGATGTTTTCTTTCATGTTGTTTCCACATTAACTCTTTAAAAAGCTTTTGAAATTGATTCACATTCTCAAAAACAACATTTAAAAAGATTTTTGGGGCAGCATGGCCAACTCGTTAAAATCATTTTAGCTCATTAGTGGTCTCGCCCTCATGAGATTAATTAATACTCACTGCATTCAGTTCAAATCTACTGGATAATATTGAAAAATCGTTAGCATCAATGGGAAAAGCGTTCCTTCAATTTGGAGCTATAATAGTTTAGTCAGGTCCTAAGTTTGGCTCATTGATGATAATTTCATTTTATCCTTCATGGTTTCTGAACACTTTAAGAGAAAAATTTTTGGAACCCGTTTCAATTCACGACCTAAGTGTACTCCTATGGAAAAATATGAGCAAGAAGAATTTTTTTAGGAATGTTTAATAGAAGTTTTGCAAAATATTTTGAACTTAGGTGTATATAATACAGCCATGACATCGTCAAAAAAGACAGTTATTCAATGTCATAAGTTTACATTTGAGAGGAGAATAAAAAGTAACAAAAACAGTTACATAAATATAGTTTATCAAAAGTAGGAATTCCCCTAGCCCTTCGTCTGGACCCGTGGAGGTGACTATGGTAGCGAATTATAATTATTTCAAGTGGGGTGTGAGTTTAGGACAGGTTTTGGTTTGGGTCTGCCAGGAAAAGGGAATCTTTTCTTCGGTCTATTGTGTTAACCCTAGAGGGATGAGGAGCTACATTCCCTGAAATGTGCTATTCTTGTTTCCATAGCAGCACACGGTTTCAGACTTTGTTCCGGGGGGAGTTCTTACCGTAGACAAACTATACCTCATCACCAATGAAGTGTAACTGCGTACCCAAATAGTCAGGTCTAATGAAGAATCGAAACTGAGCCATAGATTCACTGTGAGACCCGTCGAGAATGATGCTTGGTCAAAGATTTATGCTCTTCTTATTAGTATAACATCTTTCAATAATTGTCTATTGAAATTAATTGAACTTTTTCTTCTAATAGTTGTTGACATAAAACTCTTGGTATTATATATAGAGCCCTTTTGACTGGTTAATTAGTTCTCTTATAATTCCGCGAAAATTGGGATTCCACTGGAAAGCGTTATTTTTATTCAATGAATGCAATTCATGCATCGATTTTCTGCATTTTATACATATGAAGAGTGTCTTAAAATGCCAAAATTCAATAAACTTAATCCAAAAACTCTATTGAGCAAGCAGTCGTTCTTGAGATAGAAAGGATGACGGCATCTATAAATTTCTCAATGGAACAGAAAAGTTGTACTAAAGTGACACAAATCACATTTATTTCACAATTGCAGGTTATTTTGACAGCACCCACTGGGAAACAAAAGGTGAAAAAGGTTACGAAAACTACAGCATTATCCTGTTCTGGATTACAGGAATCATTAATAAAGACTTCAATCAGTGTGTTTCAGGATATGGTTATTCATTGTTTCCAGATCAAGCTGATGTAGAATAGTGGTGGAAGTATCGTGCTTCACAAGCTCCTGCTCTAGGCAACTGGATTATAGGAATCATCAATAAAGACTTCAATCAGCATGGTTCAGGATATGGATATGCATTGTTTCCAGCTCAAGCTGATGTAGAATAGTGGTGGAAGTATCATGCTTCACAAGCTCCTGCTCTAGGCAGCTGGATTGCAGGAGTAATCAATAAAGACTTCAATCAGTATGGTTCAGGATATGGATATTCATTGTTTCCAGATCAAGCTGATGTAGAATAGTGGTTCAAGTATCGTGCTTCACAAACTCCTGCTCTAGCCATTTAGATTGCAGGAATCACCAATAAAGACTTCAATCAGTATGGTTCAGGAAATGGATATTCATTGTTTCCAAATCAAGCTGATGTAGAATAGTGGAGGCAGTATCGTGCTTCACAAGCTCCAGCTCTAGGCATAATGTTATATATTATTTTAAACAATCAGATTTTACTTGATTCTCAGTTTGGAGAAAGAAGTTTAGCCTTAAAGCTCTTTTCCGATATTCTGGATGAATGGAATTTGTATTAGGACTTAAGGTTTCTACAAGTATTTAATATTTAGACCAAAAATTAATCAACTTAAATTTTCTAAATCTGATCTATTTTGATTTTAAAATTTTCACTTCGAAACAGCACACTTACTTCGAAAAAGAATCTACCGCGGAAATAATTTGACTTTTCGGTAGGGATTTTAAACCCAATAAATCGGTAATTGACTATTTATGCAGTTTTCTTCAATGGTAACCTTGTCTTGAATAGTAGTGAAGTTAGGCCAAA